GGAAGCAGCACTTGTACCGTTTGGGAACCTGACCGGAAGTAGCACAACCTGATCGGATGTAGTAGTTGTGCCGTTTGGGCACCTGACCGGAAGTAGCACCTGTGCCGTTTGGGCACCTGACCGGAAGTATCACCTGTGCCGTTTGGGTACCTGGCCGGAAGTAGTACCTGTAGCGTTTGCGCATGTAATGCACGAACTCACACAAAGACTCACAGAAATGACGGTTTCCATGACGACTCATTGGGTTATGTTTCCCACTTACAGCCTTCATTATACACATTCAGCTCACATCCAACATGTGAAGGGGGAACGGGTGGCCCAGTCGTCTAAGGCGCCGCGATGCGCTGTGCAGAGTTGCGTCCCTTGGACACGCCAGAAACCAATGATTGTGGGTTCGAATCCGGGTTCGCCCCGATTATGTTGCTACAAGACAGACCTCACACATACATTCCTAATGACGTAAGGCGGACCAGCTTGTCATCTTTTTTTTCGCTTGATCAAACCTATCACATAGAGATCGAATAAGGTTAGAACGAGAAGAGGAAACGATCGACAATATCCGTTTTTCACATGGGTCTTCAATCAAGACATCGCATGCGCAAGACAGAGGTGAGCAGGTAGACGATCGGGACACCATTTAAACAATGGCCGCACCGGATGGTGACTTCTGTTGATGTAGACCGAGGCCCCAACAGAAAAGCATATATACCCTATATCTGGGAACGGGTGGCCCAGTCGTCTAAGGCGCCGCGATTCGCTGTGCAGAGTTGCGTCCCTTGGACACGCCAGAAACCAGTGATTGTGGGTTCGAATCCAGGTTCTCCCCGATTATGTTTCTAGGTTTGTCAGCACCATACCCGTGCTCGTGGGTTTCACCGAAGTGGTAAACGTCTGAGACCTGCATCAGTTCTGAGGAGGCTGGACGGAGGAGCTGGTATAGGAAATATGAATCTCATCAACTGGTTGTTGAAGCGGGTTGCGAATAGGTCGAGGTATGGGGTTCGCAAAATGTGGCAGATCCATCGAATGACTTGAGTTGCCATTCCATCAGGAATGGTTGATCGGGGCGAACACACTGTCACATTAGGGATCCCTGGAATGTGCCTGGCCCGAACCTGGATGTGAGTTAGTGAGTAAGGTTTAACGCCGCTTTTAACAGTATTCCAGTTATATCGCGGTGTGTAAGCTTAATGTGGGAGGAAAGCTCGAAGTGATTCAGGTCTCAGACGTTTACCACTTCGGTGAAACCCACGAGCACGAGTATGGTGCTGACAAACCTAGAAACATAATTGGGGCGAACCGGGATTCGAACCCACAATCATAGGTTTCTGGCATGCCCAAGGGACGCAACTCTGCACAGCGAATCGCGGCGCCTTAGACTATTGGGCCACCCGTGCCCCCCGAACCTGGATGTAAAGGGAGTCAACGAGGGTAAAGAACTGAAACGTCGTTCGAAGGAGGGAGGCAGACTTGGTTAACCCCATCTTGTTGATGTACCAGACGATGGACGCATTGTCTGATTGGATCATGACTGCCGGCGATTGAAGAAGATCTGCCCAAGGAGTGATGAACTCTAGATTGTTGATGTGTAAGCTCCTGTTGGCACTTCACAAACGCCTGCAACCGACATCGCCCCAGTCGACTGTGGAGGCGTCTTCAATCCGTCAATCTATCAATCCCTCGATCCCTTATGATCAAATGAAGGATGACGATCCTGTGATGGAAGCTCCATTGTCACTCGCCGATCATTAGTTCGATGACGATCGTCCTGTTCTCGTTCAGTAGGTCATCGTCATTAGATTGCTGGAGAGCTGTATCTGTATTCTCAGAGCGCAGCAGGGGGCGATGATGACCCGAATCACGAGTGGGAAAGGGGGAGAGGCAACCCTCTGCTGACGGCTTAGACTTTCCCAAAGCTTGGTTAAGGGAGACCCCATCTTCGACATAAGGGGAGGAGCGTCAGACGACTGAACTGTCCGGTGGTCATTTAAAAGCGGGATGACTGAAGGAGACATTCAGCCGTCACGTGCAAGGTGCAGGTCGGCAGTCAACGAATCGCGGCGCCATAGACGACTGGGCCACCCGTCGACGAATACGAAGAAATGCAAAGTGTGAGATAGGATAAGTTAAAATGTTTGTTATCTTTATCAGGCTGTCGTATGCTCCAATTAAATAGCAATTCACACATAAAAGGAAACGTTAAAAACATGTTTTCGCTTAATTGAAATAGCACAGATTTCTGTTAGTTTTCGCCTCTTTTGAAACTATACTCAACAACAAAAGTTCCTGTGACACCAATATTTTAGTGTACTTTTCAAACAAGTAAAGTTTGGTTTTCAATATTGTAGTACATGTATGGAATCAAGTCACAAAAACGCAACTGCTACAGAAAAGCATGCAACCCGATGCAAAAGTTGACTTTTATGCAAGCCCCATGCATTTCACTACCCAAGAATGGGTATAAAAACATGTGCGTTAACGGGATTCCATATGTATTGTTTAGCATCGTGCTGACAACAACCACTCAGAAAAACAACCAAATTACGCAATTATTCAACATTACGAAATACCACGCCTGTCCGAAAAATGAGCGTCTGTGAGCCATTGATATGCTTGAAGCAGGATCGAGTCAACGTGATGTTGCAAGACAATTTAACATCCACAGAAACACCATTTGGTGTTTATGGCAACGTTGGCAACAGACGAATGCAGTCAGAGACCATCCTCGAAGTGGCAGGCCACGCGTAACCAATAATCGACAAGACAACTGGATTCGAACAACACACCTACGAAATGGATTCCAGCCAGCAACAGTGACTGCAAGAAGCATCCCTGGCCTTCAACGAATATCTTCACAAACCGTACGTCGCCGCCTCAGATGTGCAGGGATTGTCGCCAGAAGACCCGCCAGACGTCCCATTTTGACAAGAAACCATCGTCAAGCACGTCTACAGTGGTGCAGACAGCGTCTACTCTGGACGGCCATTCAGTGAGGACAAGTTCTATTCACTGAAGAGTCTCGTTTTCACCTCAGCCACAGCGATGGACGGATTCGCATGTAACGACGTCGAGGTGAACGTTACGTCAATCATTGTGTCATGGAAGAAGATCGGTTCGGGGGCGGCAGCGTTATGGTATGGGGTGGAATTACAGCAAGACAGAGGACCCGTTTGATAGTGGTAGAGGGAAATCTCAATGGACAGCGCTACCGCGACGAGATCATCGACCCTGTTGTTCTACCGTTTTTGCGTCGTCATGGCCGAGGGATTACCTTTCAACATGACAACGCCCGGCCTCATATTGCTCGACTTGTTCAGGATTCTCTTCAACAAAACAACGTGGATGTCATCCCCTGGCCGGCTCGCTCCATTGATCTCTCACCAATCGAGTACATGTGGGATGAGATGAATAGGCGCCTTCGACGTCAACCACGTGTTCCACAGACACTCCAGGAGCTTCGAAACATGCTCCAGCAGATATGGACAGATATCCCACAGTACTTTGTGCGACGCCTGGTCGATTCCATGAGACGAAGATGTGTTGCTTGCATCGCAACCAGAGGTGGGCACACACGCTATTGATTTGTAAATTGACATTTTGGCATGTTCATGTTTTTTTACGAAATCACGCATTTTCTGAAGTCAGTATGGCAAATTAAACCATTTGAACACTTACAGGAGTCTTTTATCTGTTGCAAACCGAAATTGTTTCAGATTTGGTAAAAACATAACTTTGCATTAAATCTTATTCAATGTCACAGGAACTTTTGTTGTTCAGTATATAAACGTAAACAGAATGTGTTAGTGAGTGAGTGTTATTTGACGCCGCATGAGTACTGTTCCAGCTATGCCACCTCGGTCTGTAAGTAAACGAGGCTGGAACAAAGAAACCAGTGGCTGATAACATGAACAACGATCAAGGGCACGATGACATGCAATCACAGACATATATGTGATATTGCGTGCCTACTTGTCCCCGTAATTGAAACAGTATAGAATTTATCCGAAATGTGCTTTATATTTTGACATGAGTATAATTACGTCCATTTGAAACGATGTTTTTTAGTCAGAAAATGCTGAAAAAATACTCTAACTTATGCCTTCGAATCAGGTGCTACTGCCATATGAGAAAAACACACCTGTTGTCTTTCCCATAATACCTGCTGTGTTTTGTAATTACGGGAGAACATTAGTATAATTGATAAAATTATAAAATAATTATTATTATTATAATACAAAATATATAATTAATAGAAAAATCTGCTTCTTTTCTTAAAGTAAAAAGATCATCATATCTTGTTCTGCTGTTTTTTGGCGAGTATATCGTGTACCTTCCCGCCTTATGGACGAGTTTAACTTTTCCAAGAAACGTTAGTGACGCCTCATATGCGCATGCTCACGTTCGAGGTGGGTGAGTCAGTTTGGTTTAACGCCACCTCTCGGCATGTCATGTAATACTTTTTTTAGTTTCATAACAAATCCGATGTCCTTCCTACCCGGAACGCGCTAAAACATTCATCAAATATGTCATACATTTTTCAGCTTTCAGATTTGAACGACGATGAAATAAGAATAGGTGTTTTTTTCATTGGGCTCACATGAATAGCCTCAAGCCGCAAAATAGAATAATCTTGTAACACACGGCTAGTTATGGCCTACTCGTCACATCGGAAATGATTTTGTTAAGTGTAATAATTCTAGAATAGGACCATAAATTCATCAAAATGAAGTTATGAAATGCGCAGTCCCTATAGCCGTTGATGAGTTGAGAAATATCGACCAATCTGTGCTTCAAGAGTTGACGGAAGTAATGCACAAACACCTGCCGCCACTAAGCGTCAGCAGCAACACCAAAGTTGGGAGCGTGAAACACGTGCTGCACGATCTGCGCGGACTCGAATGTGATCGGTTACGGTAAACAGACAAAAACGATTTGATTGGTCGGCGCCTTTGATGTGCTCGCCACAACTTTGAGTGCTTCACAAACCATTCACACTCCGCTACAACTGACATGTTGATTTTCCAGCAGCTTACAGAATGCCCGGATAACCATGATTGTTTTTCTCAAACGCATATCATTCGTCAACAATTCGTGGAATCGGTGGTGATTTAATCTTGGCCGTATTTGTGATTTATATCATTTTGTGACATCTCCAGATATTTTTATCAAACGGGCTGGATTATTTTGGATTATCTTTGTGACACACGCAAGAATTTAAGTATTTTAGGAGCATCATCATCGCATGATATTGGCATCGCCTGTGGGTTTAAGAACAGCTGTTTTGGACAGGTGAGTATTGATAAAAGCGTTCAAATCGTAATCCAAGGACAGGTAAACACTCGAGGTGCATGTGGGACAATTGTGCCATGATTTATTTTCATCGTCTGATAACATAATCTTTATTCAAGAAAATATTTCCTAACACCAAATACTTGTTACGAGTTAATATTTCAAATATCATACACCTTTATGACGTCATAACATTTTAGAAACCGATTCCCTAACGTATTATTTTAGATGTTAATAGAAAAGTTCTAAATATATTTTAATCGGAAAAACAATCTTGCTTTAAAGGAAAATGCAGTTTTTCAGCAGTTATATGTTGGACTTTGTTGAACAGTTTGGTAAGATTTGCGTGTGATCTTTAATTTCAGAAAAAAGGACCAAAAGTCAATTCAAATTGAATTCAACGATCACGTGAAATGTGATGTGGTGTTCGACAGCATGTCGATATCATTTTGAAATGGACACAATCCGATCGTGAAATCAATACATGTGGCCAGTGATTGGCGGTGTGTCGGATCGAAGCAAGCAAACTTCATCCTGCTCATCGCGTGTCTCCATTGTGTTGTGGTCAGTTTCATCAGCGGGGATGTATGTGCGAACAATACACATTTGATCCACGTCATCAATTTCACTTATAAATTGCCTGTGTTGATGTCACTGTCCCAGACGAGTATAAACTGCAAGTTGATTGTGGGGAAAAACACGTGAAGAATCTGTTGGTTTGGATGAGAGTACACGATACAGTGGATTGTAAACAGTAACTGTTTGATTGGCATTCTAGAGGTTTCTGACAGTGCGTCGAGTTCTACGTGGAAGCGTGTTATCATTTGAAAGGCAGCGGAATACACTTTATCTGTTTTAACTCAGTTTTTTAGGGCGTTTTTTATAGATACCATCATATCATGTGGACATTGATATTATCAATCAAGAATTATTAACTGTCTTCCCACAAACATAGTGACCTGAGAAGGACACGAAGCCTCATCGAGACACTGTGAGTAAATATTCCGTAGTAAGTTCGACACAACCCACGCGTCGAGGATGAATACTACCAACTCGACTACCTCGCCTTCGTCGAAAATGATTCTACCACAGGAAGCTACGGCGAATCTCATGTGGCAAATATTCCCGCCGATCCTACTTGTATTTGGCACCGTCGGTAACGTTCTCTCCATAGTTGTGCTGACCAAGAAGACGATGCGGAAGTCCAGTGTGTCCATCTATTTGACCTGTCTGGCTGTAGCTGACCTGTTGGCTTTATATTCAGGTCTTTTGAGACAATGGATCATCTACACCTTCAAAGTCGACATCCGGGAACTTCACCCAGTGATCTGCAAGGTCAACACGTGGTTGCTGTACGTCAGCCTTGACCTTTCTGCCTGGATTCTTGTTTCTGTTACAGTGGAGCGCGCCATTTCGGTATGGCTGCCCCACAGGGTGAAGGTCATATGTACGAAGAACGTACTTGCGGTAAATATTCTGGTTCTAGTGATCATTCTAATGTCTGTTAATGGACATTTTCTGTTCGGAATTGGCCGAGTGGTTTACGAAGGTGCCGTTTATCCATGTGCAAACCAGTCTCCGGATTATGCCAAGTTTCTTGACTACATATTTCCGTGGATAGATATGTGTTTGTTCTGCCTCGGGCCTTTCGCGTTTCATTTAGTCGGTAACACTCTTATCATTACGCGTTTGATGGCTGGCGTGCGCACTATAACCCAGATGAATGTGGCCACCACTGAGCAGACGACTGAAAGACGGCGCCAAGTTTCGTCCATGACCAACATGTTGTTGAGCCTCAATCTGGTGTATCTCGTCTGCACGCTACCAATTTCTATCTACCTCATTTACACTACATATTGGGAGAAAGACACCTCACCGAAAGCGGATGCACAACGCCGGCTGTTGTTCGCATGCGCGAATCTTCCAATGTATTTGAACAACTCGATGAACTTCGTAACGTACACTCTCAGCGGCAGGCGGTTCCGGTCAGAGCTGGTTTCTCTTTTCAAACGTAAAAGGTCAAGGTCGGGATCCATTGTCACCCACTCCACCTCAACATCCAGCGTATATAGATCCCGACACCAGGGGTCAGGTCACACGACGACAGGTACCAACATGTAATCTCATCCCGTGTCAATTTACGTCGAATTTTACATTCAGCTTTGTCTCAAAAAAGATTATCTCATTTTCCGCTTATGAAAAAGCTGTTCATATACTACTTGTAATTTTAAAGAATTTCTTGTCAAATTGTATTCTTATTCGGGCTTTAAAACCTTAATCTTTATTGGGAGAGGAGATGTTAAATTTAAAATTATATTTTTTCCGGAAAATTGAAAATTAATAAAATTATTGCCCGGCGTTTTAAAAACGGTTAAACGTTAACCCTCCTGCAATAGATATTATTTTATTTTCGGACGTCCAGGTTTGCATATTTGAACTCAAATTTGATTGAGGAAGTATTTCAAGATCGTGGTTTTGGTAGTCCAAGAGGTGTTGCTTGACTTCAGTTCCTGTGCTGAGCATTAACTTTGGGTCTCTCACAGCAGACCCATGGGACTAATGCCTCGACTCACTGCTTGCCAATTAATGTCTCTCACGGCATTATTTAGGAATTCATCGTCGTACAACCGACAAGGTGAATGTGTCACCGTCAAGGAAATGGTACGCTGTGCACAATGTGTGGCAAATCGAAATAATTCGATTTGGGAGACTATTTTTGAGATAGATGTTATCACACGATGGACACTGAAAATGGCTGTGCTGAAATGGACAGACATTAAATAACCTTGATGTTTTCTCAAGTTTGGGTAGGGAAATCAGTGCTGTGATCTTTCTGTGTGGCATTTATTTTGATCACATTAACAGACTGTAACCGAGTGAAAAGATACAAGCACCACACGAAGTGTTATAACCCTATTCAATCAGAAAACTAACTTTGCGAAATTGTTCTTAATTATACTAGTCTTTGGTGGAGTTAAAGGTAAAGATCACATTTCAAGAGATAGATTTATCGCTATGCGTTTACTGAATGATAACAGGTTTGTTTCAATGCAGTTTCAGCAATCATGTTTTTTACATGGTACATAAGTTAGTAATCCCTGAGTTACGAAGATGGATCAATAACGCTAAAAGCTGTTTAACAGTATATGCACAAAACCTTTGGTAAAAAGAATTCCTTGATGTGGTGTAAATAATGTTTATGTCTGTCACAAGTTGGGAGTTGAGTACATTTTGTATCTTACTTATCACGTGTACACGTCATGGTTTTTATAACTGATCATTGTATTTTTAGATATTCAATCAGTTTATTGTTTATTGTTTTTTTTTCCATATGACTCAAGTTACATACGTTATATCATACATTTATATTCCTTTGCATATGCATTTATTTAGATATCCTTAGAGTATCGATATGTGATATTGCAGTAATATCGATCAATTTACGAGGTGAGTCGGCATCATGACAAATGTTTTGCTGATACTGACCTGCAAATGTTATTCATTGAAATGAAATGTAAAATATTGTTAATGACAATTAGAAACAACATTACTTAACTGAAATAGAATAGTTTTATCATATCAACTTGGTAAGTTCATATAACAAAATTAACTTTGCCCTGTTGTTTTTTGTTGTTGTTTTTGTTGTTGTTGTTTTTGTTGTTGTTGTTGTTTTGGTGGGTGCTATGAAAAGAAGATTGATTTATAAGACGATATCAATTCGTAGGTTAGTGAGGTAAGATGTTTGTTGAGTGAATACAATTGCATAGAATCGTAAGCAAAACGAAAATAAACATATTTTAACAAAACCCGTTGTAAACAAGTATTTGAACATGCTTTCTTTCGAATGTAGAAATAACTGGTGTACATATCTGAAACTGCCCCTTAGCGTGAGCCCACTTATTCGCTGATTCGAAGTTACATTTATCTCAAATCAACTCACTCACTCACTCACTCTCTGCTTGCATGTGTATTCGATTACATTTCTGTCATCGGGAAATATCAGATGGACCGTAACAGTTTTACATGACCTCTTACAACCAAATGTCCACATGTAAAATGTCCTATGTATGCGAGCTGTAAGATAATTTCAATGTTTCTTTCAGATTGTGTGAATAAAAGAGAGAGAGTTGAAATATTTCGGTAATCATAAAAAAAAAACTGGGACAAAATCATATTCCGAACAGTGACGTGGTTGTCATGTATTTCTTAAAAGTATTAAAGACTAAGTAATTAATACAACATGGAGAAAAATAAATAACGGAATTTTATACACTCATGGCATGGCAAGAATCGGTTCTTATTTTGAGTAGTGATCACTAGAAAGTAATGCTAGCCCGCAAGCGCATGTCAACTTGTATTTCAAAAGTCTAGTGAAGGCGGTTTGGTAGCCTAGTGGATAAAGCGTTCGCTCGTCACACCGAAGGACCGGGTTCGATCCCCAACGTGGATCCAATATGTGAAACCCATTTCTAGTGTCCCCTGTCATATTGCTGAAATAGTGCGGCGTAAAACCACACTCACTAAAATGGCTAGAAAAAGGTCACTTGCCTATTAAAACGTGTGTGATTTTTTGTACGTCAACAAGAAGTGATTCATGTAGCCTCGCCACGCACTGGCAATTTGAGGCGAGTCCTTGTCACAACAAAGAAACCTCATACCAGGCAACCCCTGGGGGTTCCGGGGTTGTACTGTTTGTTTGTTTGTTGTTTAACGCCGCACTCAGCAATATTGCAGCTGTATTACGGCGGTCTGTAAACGTCTGGACAAGACAATCCAGTGATTAACATCATTAGTATCGTTCTACGCAATTGGGATGCGATGACATGTATCAACCAAGTAAGCGAGCCTGACAACCCGATCCCGTTAGCCGCCGCTTACAAGCATAGTCGCCTCTTCCGGCAAGCATGGGTTGCTGGAGACCTATTCTAACCGTGGTACTGACACCTTATACCCGATGCGCCGACTGACAGGGATCCGGGGTTTACAATGCGTGTCCTGGTTGAAAGTGTCCTATTGTTCCGATGAGGTGAAATGGGGTGAAATGGGGTTAAACGTCGCGTCCAAGATTATTGCACTTATATAGAGACGTGCATGTACGTGTGTGTGTTTGTGTGGCTGCTCGTACTAGTCCGGACTGATGCCGATTTATAGTGCTAGCCCACTGAGATACCATGCCGCAGTTTAACATGAATACCCCACTCAGACACAGTATACTGACTCCGAGCCGACCAGTCCTTGTTTTAGCCCCTTTATGCCGAGCGCCAGACAGGGTAACAACAAGTACCATCTTTTAACGTCTTTTGGTATGACGCGGCCGGGGATCGAACCCTGGACCTTCCGCTCTTCGGGCGGACGCTCTACCACTAGATCACGGAGGCGGTCTTGTTCCGATGACGTAGTCCTTTGAGGAATTTGAGTGAGTATGGCTGTACGCCCTTTTAGCAATAATCCAGCAATATCACGTCAGGGGACACCAGAAATGGGCTTCACACGTTGGACATGTGTAGGGAATCGAACCCGGTGATTCCGCATAACGGGCAAACACTTTAACCACGACACTACCCAACCGCCTCTTGAAGAATTTGAAGCTTGAAGCTATCGCTGCTATATCTAGTTAGGTATAATTCATGTTCCAGAGAGCGGACATGTATGTAAGATACAAACGATTGTATTGTTGTACGTAAGTGTCCGCTGGAAACCTTGCTATACAAAAACGTGTTTTGTCGATATTCCTTTGCCTCAATATTTCCTCTGTGGGTCAATGCAAGTCACGTGGTAGCTATTTTTTACGATCTGTTCGCAGGACGCGGGCGTCCGGTTATACAATTGTATTGATGATTTGTATACTTTTTTGTATTTCTGTAAGTAAAAAATATTGTGACCACAAATATATATGTGTGTATTAAATAAATTATGGAGCATTTATATTTTTGTTGATGTTCTTGATTACTTTCCTATGCCATGTAAACTGCCGGGGAAGTTTAAAAACAAGAAATGGTTGTTCGATGGTACTGTTTTTTGTACGGGTATCATAATTGTATTTTCGACCTTAAGTTTGCAGTGTTTCGGCGACTGTTTTCAGCCTAGTAAAATTTATATAACGTTTGAATTATTTTTTTTTATCAAATCCAATTTTCAAGTGTGGACTTTCTTTTGCCCGGTAGTTTACATTACAGCTTGACGTGGGAGGAAGGCCTTAAGTGATGTAAGTCTTCAACGTGTTCTACTTTGGCAAAGGAAATGGTTATTCGATGGTGATGGGTTTGATACGAGTGTCACGGGCGCTATTACATGCATCATATCAATGAGCATCCCACAACAGGCGATGTGCAGAGTTGCGTCCCTTAGGCACGCCAGAAACCTATGATTGTGGGTTCGAATCCCGGTTCGCCCCGATTTTGTTTCTAGGTTTGTCAGCACCATAACCGTGCTCGTGGGTTTCACCGAAGTGGTTGGTAAACGTCTGAGACCTGCATTACTTCGGGCTTTCCTCCCACATTAAGCTGACACGCCGTGATATGACTGGAATACTGTTAAAAGCGGCGTTAAACCCCAGGCGATTGTTTTCAGCCTTGTAACGTTTGTAAATTTTTGGTCAACTCCAATTTTTAAGTGTATATTTTCTTTTGCCCGGTAGTCTAGTTTCCTGATAGAGAGTAAGTTCTTGATTGGTGGATTACGTCACGTATACGGAGGGCTGAGAGCCAGAGGAGGGTGGTTGGTCGTAATAAAATACAAACTGGAACACCCATTGTTTACGTCATAGCATGATGCGTGTACAAATGGATAGACGATCATTTTGTTGCAATTGTTTTGTTCAATAAAACGAATAATATTTATAGGATAACTGTAGGATTAATGTTATTATATCAATACACTGAGGGGGAGATGAAATTATACTTCTCAGTTGATTTTTTCAGATGTTTGATTTTGAAGTTAGTGATATTATATCAACAAAAATTTAACTATGCTGGCGCTTAAGTACCACACAAAGAATATTTCTACGTGTTTTACTTTTAAAATATAAATGGCTTTAAAACTTTTGAAATAATTAATTTGTTTTCGTATAAAACACAACTGCTGGTCGGTAGACATCTGATCTTTGAAAATAAAAAAATGTTTTTTTCGGCACAAATTTACATTTCAAACATTGTAGGGGTCATGTGGTTGCAGATTCATTTCTTACCCCAGTCTTCCTTTATTTTTAAACAAAAATAAACTGAGATTGTTTTTGACAGTTGAAGAGTAAGTTTTTATGTACAACTGGAGGAACGAGCACACAATGGCTCCTTTTATGTTATAAATGTATGTAAATATACGTAAATATATGTAAATATATACCCAAACGTATCGTGCGTTTGTCTGTCGGGATCTTTTTCGATGCATTAACCATATAAAATTTAGTATTATTAAATGAGTAATATTACAGATATACAAATTAAGTTAATAAAAGATTGTTAATCACAATTGTAGCCAAATATATGCCATAGAAAATGATATTTTCACTCACAGAGAACGTTATAAATAGAATGCTAAACATTTTAATGTTTATTGTTTTCTTGGCGTCATGCAGTCGTACTTGTCTTTACATAACATATCTGTTTTGTTTCAATCCGAATAATATCACCCATAGTATTTATTTCACAGTCATTTGTGGATTTTTCGTCTAGTTTATGTAACATCGTCAGACATCTGCTGAGCTTTTGAGAGCGGCAAGGGCGTCGAAATATTTTTAGTTTGAAAAAAACAGGAATATTTCTGAGATCAATGCCGTATCTGGTTTTGTGTATTTTACATTTAATTATCCAACCTAGCATTCCCAGATTGGTGAAATTCTTCACATACAACACAAGTATGATTCTCCCTGCTGATTGTGAGTGTAGCTGAGATACGGGGTGATAACACTGTTGATGGAGCGGCCGAGCTGTTGCAGTGTACAACTGTTTCTAACGCAAGCATGCTGAATGTATACAAAACGTCGAATAAATCACCCCGCGGCTTAGCAGGCTGGAGTAGGTTTCGTAATGAATATGAAATTGTTTTAATTGGGGGCAAAGTCTTCGTTACAGAGATAGTTTCCAACATAAAATACAATTGGCTTAAATGCATTTACTTTCAGAAATCAGGATAAAAGTCATTTCGTATTTTATGTGTTTGTTTAAAACAGTAAGCGCAATGTTAGTCCATGTTACATTTATAAAATATTTGGTTAATATACTACTACTGCTACTACTATCACTACTACTACTACTACTACTACTACCACCACTACTACTGCTGCTACTACTATCACCACTACTACTACTACTATTACTGCTACTACTATCACCACTACTACTACTACTACTGCTACTACTATCACCACTACTACTACTACTACTACTGCTACTACTATCACCACTACTACTACTACCACTACTACTACTGCTACTACTATCACCACTACTACTACTACTGCTACTACCACTACTGCTACAACTATCACCACTACTACTACTACTAATAATAATAATAAAAATAATAATAATAATAATAATAATAATAATAATAATAATAATAATAATTCAGTCATATTAATCATCACGTATTCTTTGGAATTTATTTTTCTACACCCATAAATATCTTTTCCACTAGGACAGTTAAATGAAATGGACATCTTTTCAAATTCGAGTTTGGCTATTTCACGGCGATTTATCTGGATGTGGAGGAAGATGAAGTGATGCAGGTCTCAGATGTAAACCACTTTTAAGACTTTTAAGAACTATAATCAGAGCTGTCTGAGATTCGAACCCACGATCATTGCATTCCAGGACGCATTAGACGCCCGGGTTCCTGAGTCCCCACAATAGCTGGGAAACTGTGCACATGTGTTTGATGACAGCAGATGTAGCGCAGGCGTACATGCAGATCAAGACGTCATCGACAGGCGTACATGTAGATCAAGACGTCATCGACAGACGTACATGTAGATCTAGACGTCATCGATATACATACATGTAGATCTAGACGTCATCGACAGGCGTACATGTAGATCAAGACGTCATCGACAGGCGTACATGTAGATCAAGACGTCATCGACAGACGTACATGTAGATCAAGACGTCATCGACAGACGTACATGTAGATCAAGACGTCATCGACAGACGTACATGTAGATCAAGACGTCATCGACAGACGTACATGTAGATCTAGACGCCATCGACAGACGTACATGTAGATCTAGACGCCATCGACAGACGTACATGTAGATCAAGACGTCATCGACAGACGTACACGTAGATCAAGACGTCATCGACAGACGTACATGTAGATCAAGACGTCATCGACAGGCGTACATGTAGATCTAGACGCCATCGACAGACGTACATGTAGATCAAGACGTCATCGACAGGCGTACATGTAGATCAAGACGTCATCGATAGGCGTACATGTAGATCAAGACGTCATCGACAGGCGTACATGTAGATGAAGACGTCATCGATAGGAGTACATGTAG